AAGTACCCATGGATGCCAACTTAGGGTATGTGATCCCATGGGATTGTAGTTACAGACAGTTGTGAGTTGCCAATGGATGCTGGAAATTGAACCCAGGTTCTCTGAAAAAGCAGCAGTGGTGTTTATTTTGGGGACAAGGTCATATTCCTTGCATGGTTGATGCAAATATCCCTTAGACGTCTGTGATAACAATACTACAACTTGCTTGCTTTTTGAAACAGGAAATTTTTGTTTGTTTTTTCAAGATGGGGGTTTCTCTTTGTAGCCTTGGCTGTCCTGGAATTAATGCTGTAGACCAGGCTGGCCTTGAATTCACAGAGATCCACATGCCTCTGTCTCCAGAGTGCTTGGATTAGTGGCATGCACCAACACTGCCTGGCCTTGGACTTCTGAAGTCTTGCCTAAAGGAACTGGGCTCTTTTTCCCTTTTTCCCTTCTTAATTCCTCAAGAATTTCTCCCCCTACCTCTGGAGGATTCAAAAGTCTCTGCATTGTCTTGACTAGCTCTGAAATTCTAGGGAAATTTGACTTAGACTTCTAAGTACAATCATTATAAAGTGAAAATAATGCTAAGATTACTAAAAATGGCAAGCTAATACCAACATTTTTCTAGTCCCTCAGCATTCTGATAGGTTTCCCCTGCCTCTAAAACCCAACTCCATTACTGTACACATAATACACCAATGGTCTGCATTCAGTGTTATTTCACACTTACCCATTAGGGAGTATATTTTACATAACCATCTCCCTTGTACTGCATTTTAAAAAATTTTTCTTTCATCTTTCATGACAGGGTTTCTCTGTGTAGCCCTAGAACTCAATTTTCTGCCTCCCAATTGCTGGGATTAAATGTGTGTGCCACCACACCTGATCAGACAGCATTTTAATATTCATTCAGCAAATTACTTTAGCTAAAACCCCTATGCAGTGTAATCAGAAGAAATTTACAACTTCACATGGAACTCTACAGGCTACCACAAGATCTAACTTCTCACTCTTCTGATCCCCATGCTTGATGGGCTGCAGGCACTTTATGCAGTGCTTTGCAAGGTCAGTACAATGTTCAAAGACTCAAACTTAGCTGACCATTCGAAATTCTCAATGCATGCCTCTCTTGACAGTTCTTTCTTTCATTTGCTGAAAATCTGAACCGCCAATTTCGTTCTCATTAGTACAAAAAGTCCCAGAAAGACTTCTGTCGTTTCAGCCATTTATACTTAGAGGCTCCGTTCTCAGAAACAAAACGGATATTGCTGCCAAGATTTTGGTAAGCAACACCATAACTATTTTTATGCAACACGTTCAAGTGTAAAAATGCCAGAAAACTAGAGATAAACTAATTTAGTTAAGAACTAGATCCACTCAGCACTTGTATGACTCAGTCTAGTCTTGGCCCCGCCTTACAACAGCTGTCATTGACCGCATGCAACATTAACTGAAAGTCAAATACTGCTGCAGAAAAGCAGGAGGGAAATGGCAAGTCGAGGGGGTGGGCGTTTCTCGGAGCGAGCATCCTGTAGGGTTAGAGCGCCATATTCTGAAACCGAGTCCCGTGCATTGTCACCATGTAGAAACAAATTCAAGGTGTGCAGTGCCCAGCATCACAAGGAGCGCACTACTTACTGCTTGTCACCAGACTGTATAATAAGGAACACATTCACTCCCGCCCTTGCTACAAAAACATCCACCTAGCCAGGGCTCCTCCAGCCCAAAGAAGTGGGGAGTTTGACTTAATGGTGGGATGGAGGGGACAGGTGTGCTGTCTTGCGCTCAGCCTACGAAGGCAAAGACACAACACAGAAAAGCGAAAATACCAATTCACACTGGTAAGAATGCTTGGTGGTTGAAAACCTCAAAGAATGCTGTGGCAAGGACTAGAGATTAGGCCGCGCCCTCAGCCACCGGGAGGTGCTGAGCAAAGCGACGCCGGGGTCCAGCTGCGCGCCGTCCCGAGGGCAAGGGCGGTTCTCTCGCAGCCATCTGTCCGGCCCCGCCCGTCCACCCCTCCCGGAGGGAACCGCCAGGACCCTAGTGCGCAAGCGCCAACCCGCCAAGTCCGCGGCGCCGCCGCCGCCGCCGCGCGGGGCGCAAGCGCGGAGGCTCCAGGCAAGGGGCGGAGCCAATTTAGGAGGGAGAGTAGAGCGCGCCTAAATCCTAGAGAGGCGGGTCCGGAGCTGGGAGGGGAAGGGCCTGGACTGCGTGGCCGGCTTGCCGCTCACCAAGCTCGCGCTTCAGCTACGATGGAGGGAGACATGGGCCCCACCTGTGCCCATCAGAGATCTCCAGGCAGAAGTCGGAGCTGTCCGCAGGACATGAGGACTCGCGGGAGGCCGGTTCGCGGGACAGCGGCGGGGATGGGGGTGGGCAGCACGGCGGGTCTGCGCAGGCGCCCCGCCTTCGCAGGCCACGCCCCCAGCGGCCTTACCCACGCCCCCTGCCTCTTTGGGGAGGCGCGGATCGGGGTGGGTGGGAGGGGCCCTAGTTCTACGGCTGGCCCCGCCCCCGCGGCCTCCTATTGGGCGAGCGAGGGCGTCCCCCTCACGCCGTCTGCCTATTGGCGCGCGCGTGCGGACGCCGCGCCCCATTGGTCTGTTCTGATTTGGGCACCAAATTCAAAGATTTTAAAAGTACCAGCTGGCGCCTTTTAAGAGCTACAGCTCGGCGCCGCGGCCGGTCGCCTCTTCCCTCCGGTCGCCGCCACTTCACCTGCGTCGGAGCCCGCATTCTCCGGCATGAGCCGGCGCGTTTGCAGCGGTCTGCCCCGGCCGTCCTCCTGCCCCTGCGGCCTCGGCGCGCGGACGGTCGCGGACGGTGAGTATGAGGCGGGCATTGAAGGGATCCCCACTCCGGTGGCCGCAGCTTCAGACCGGGTGCATGTGCAGATCACGGGGTCCCGGGCCTCAGGTGGCTTTCCAGGCCCGGGGCAGGAAAGGAGGAGACTCGGGGCGCAGAGGAGAGTCAGTCGGCTGGTGCAGAATGGGACAGTTGTGGTCTGCCTGGCACGGGGTCCCACCATCCCATCCCATCCAGGTATCCCGCTCCCAGGACGTGCAGGTGGTGGCATCTGCGCGCGGGATTCCACCCCAGCCCCTGCATGGGCGCCAAATGCCCCCTCTCCCCTCCCCCACTCCTGCCCGAGCTGTGACAGGGCTCTGGGCTTCCAGCCTTGCCAGATGCCTCTTCTCCAGCCCCTACACCCCCTTTTCACAGTTGTTTAGCTCCCTCACATCCCAACTCAGTTTCCCAAACTTTTCTACCTCAGCGTCCTGGCCGGAGAGCGCGGGAGATTGCGCTCGCGCTTATCTCCCGCCCTCCCTCGTGCACCGCGCCCTCGGGGCACCTCCCATCACCGACCCCCCAGCACTTCTGGGGGCTCCTTCCCTGCTCCCGCCAAATGTAGAGACCCCCCTCCTCTGCCCACCGTACCAAACTCAATGGAAAAAGATTTTATTTTCTCCTCTTTTTGCCTCTTTTCTCAACCTCAAGTCCTGGAGCCCCCGGGAGGGTTTTGAAAAGCGCCCCCCCCTCAAAAAAAGAAAAGAAAAAAACCCCAAAACCATGAGTTTGCCTCTAGTGTTTATTTAATGGTGAAAGTCGAGGAGTTTATTTTTTTTCCCCTCTGAATTGAGGAGTTAGTGATCACTTGCTTCAAAGCCTGAATCAGAGTTCAGCAAACTCAGTTACATATATATATTTAAAATACATCTTTGTTGGACCCTCAGTGAAAGACATCCATCTATTTTATCCTAGAAATTTTCGAAACTGGAGGAAAAAAGCATTTCTTTGATAATCTTCCTTCATCAGAACAGGAATTAAGCCTTGAGGGGTAAAAGCTGCTAGCTTAGCAGATTGTATTTGTAAAAGACCCTGAATCCTAAGTCAACCTTAAAAGTCGGAAATGTAATCGTTTTACGAGGGATTTTTTTTTTTGCTCAACTTTGCTCCTCAGGAAATACGTGCTGCCTCCGAGTCCCCTCCCCGACTTGGTTTACAGCTTTGAAGAAATTTTTAAAAAATTAATTAGTACATTTAAATGATTTTCCAAGTAGGCTTAAAGATTTTCTCATGAGAATTACACTTTTGGTCACTGAAATTTCCTCAGTCTTTAAGCGGAGAAATGAATGTGCTTAGCCTTGGCCACATGCTTGGGGACTGAGACTGAAACTTGGTTAACATATGGAAGAGCTAGAAAGACTTTAACGACAGTTTTAATTACAGCCTTTGATATGGAATGTAAGGTCGGGATTTATAAGTTGAATGAAAGGTCAGACCGGGTGCACTTTATAACTCTCAAACCTTCTCCCTCCCCCACCCCAGTGATTGGCCTGAGCAGCGGTAATGTGAGTTCGAAACATTAAAATGTTTGAGTTTTATCTATAGGTTCGTTTTAAGGGAAACCAAAAATATCCTAACGAAATAAACTGGTTGGAAAGTTCAGCAGAGAGCTTTTTCATTTGAACTTTTGCTTCCTAAATTTGTGCTTGTGTGGAATTTATCTTGATTTGCAGTGTAAGAAATGTGAGAGCTTGGCTTAATGTGAGCAGTGTGATAGAGATGCTATTGATTAGATCGTGCATTTAATAGTTTTCTTCCCATTTCGTGGATGGGAAAACTAAGGCTGTGAGAGTTATCTTTTTGTCATTTTCTCCCGACTTAGTAAATGGTACTCTTTATGTTAATTGCTGGAGTCTTTAACTGTAGGGTTTTTTTTTTATTCTACTTAACAGTACATATCCTGTGCATTAGTTAGTTGGGGTCACTTGCCAAAGTTTCTACTGCAGTTGTAAACCCTGGTCCCCTTGGGACTCTTGTAAACACCTCTAACCTTGATTCCTCATACTTCCCTGTAATCCACCATTGCCAGTGAGTGACCTGTGACCTTTTCAAATTTGGAGCCAAATTTCTTTCTGTTTGGAAAATAGAAAGGTTTGGTCACTCCTAAAGATCACACCTAATACCTAACTTGCCCCTTAATCTATCATAAGTAGGTATCAGATGAAAATGCCCCCACATATTGTTTGATTGGGGGAGGTATGGAATCAGGTAATCTGCCTTTATGTGTGATTGACTACATAAACAATATAAAGTATTTCTTACTGTTTAGGAGCACTTACTTTGACCTTTGGGAAGTTCTTGCCCAAGATGGATTTAGCTATTTTATATACCAGATTTTTGTCTTCTGATACTTTCTTTAATTTAGAAAACAAAAATAAAGAGAATCCTGTAGTCTGGAAAAGTTAAAAAAAAAAAAAAGCTTAAAAAAAGGAAATGATGCCAACATGTGAAATGCAGTCCCCAGCCAGCTGGAAAAGCTCATGAGAGCAAAACTTAGAACAGTTGGAGGCAAAAGTGAGCATCCCTGGACTAGGTTTGGTGCCAGCACTGTTGATTACAGTGTTCTTGTCCTGCAAGTCGTGCTCACATGAGCACATGCGTTAGGCAGATCTCGGGTCAGAGGCACTGGCTGAGGGAAGGGATGAAACTGCCATAGCCATAACTGGAGGTCAACGTGCTTTTCACCAGCTTGCCCCCTGTGCCCAGTCAGAGCCACATAGGGATAGAAGAAAACGGACTGCATAGAGTTGTCCTGACCACATGTGCACCATGGTACATGCATCCCGACACACTCGAATGGGGAGAGGAGAGTTAGTGCAAAGGAAGCCTGTAGAACTAATGATAGCTAGATGGAATGTGGTGTCCTGGAACAGTGGGGAAAGCTGAAGGACCGTGCAACCATGGGCTTTAGTTAATAGTTTTGGCTTAATCTCTTAATTGGGACATGCACACCATGGTAATGCAACCTGTTCATTTCTGTTAGTGGGTATGTAAGGACTGATACTTGGTGTAAAGCCCTGGGTTCAGTCCCCATCAGGGAGGAGGGGACCATGTTATTACAAAAGTGATCTTTATTCTGTTTCGTGTGTTCTTTTCATAGGTTGTAAAGAAGAAAGTCCTGTTCTTTCCGTTAAAATGAAGTGTTTTAATTGCAACCCTGATCTTTCCGAACTTGAAGTGGTAAAACCTGAGGAGAGTGGGAAACAAGTTTCCTACAATCCTGTGTGTTTGGAGCCTTCCTGCAAGGACTGCTTTAGAAACCAGGAAAGGTTATCTTTCATTGAGTCACCAATTGTGGGACCTGATAACAACAAGGAAAATCAACGTGTACAAAAACTGCTCAATAGTTCAAGTGAAATAGAGGAGCTAGAGGCCAGCAGACTGTATGAAGACAGTGGCTATTCGTCATTTACACATCAGAGTGAACAGGAGGATGGCATCCTTATCCTGGAGAATTTCAGAAACAGTAGCCAGCCCCGCCTGCTGCCGTCACAGAGCCCAGACCAGTATCCCAACAAACACCTGCTGCCTGTCCTGCATTTTGAAAGAGTGGTTTGCTCAACATTAAAAAAGAATTCCAAACGAAACCCGAAAGTGGATCGAGAAATGCTGAAGGAAGTTATCGCCAGTGGGAACTTTAGACTACAGAATATAATTGGCAAGAAAATGGGTCTGGAACACCTAGATATCCTCACCGAGCTCTCCCGGAGGGGATTTAAACACCTTTTAGCTAATATTTTGACAAAGCTCAGCGGCATGGATTTAATAAAGTGAGTGTGTTACACACTGCATGTGTTAGATAACCTGAGACCCACTTGTAAGATGAGTGTAAATCAGTGCTGGCTTGTGTTTGATTGATGGCATTTGAAATGAAAGAAAACGTAGGAAATATGCATCTAGTCTGGTTACTTTGAATTTTGTAGTCTTGGTATTAGAAGGATGTATTCTATATTGAATCATCTGACTGGCTGAAGTGAAACAGGGTGGATGTGTTGGTTTCTATTATTGGCTGGTTTCTGTAATCAGCATTGTGGAGTGCATTTAAGTTAATATAACGGGTTTTCAAAATCTATTACAAGCAGCCTAGAGGAAGGTGGAGGTGTGCACATTGTAGTAGTATGTAATTGGTTCTCCAAATAGCTACTCAAAAAGAGTGGATACAGTGGAAGCTTGATGGGAGCTTTTAAAACATTTGAAAATTTTGGCCCTTGGGTAGTCTGGTTAAACACTGATACATGGTCATCGGAACAGTTTCCATGTTTAGTCAGGTTAGCAAAGCTTGCATTGTGCTTCTGTTCTCCGCTCATCTTAGTATCTTGTGTCCTTTGCTTCCAGTTTGTCTAAAGTGAGCAGACTTTGGAAGAAGATAGTAGAAACCGATAAAGGAGCATCCCAGCTGTACAGCAAAGCCATGCAGAGAGTCCATGTAAGTGATGGTTTCTTGAAGGGCTGCTGTTCTTTTTTCTTTAGAAGTAGAGACATTATATAGCTGGGCGGTGGTGGCACACGCCTTTAATCCCAGCACTTGAGAGGCAGAGATAGGAGGATCTCTGATTTCAAGGACAGCCAGGCCTACTTGAAAAAAAAAGGAAAAGGGACAATTTTTTTTTTAAGTCCTTTAAATTCATAAAGCACATCAGCCTCCCAGGGGCTGGAGAGAATGAGTGTGAGGGGCGTAAGACAAGTTTAAAAAAATTACACTTTTAGCCGGGCGGTGGTGGCGCACGCCTTTAATCCCAGCACTCGGGAGGCAGAGCCAGGCGGATCTCTGTGAGTTCGAGGCCAGCCTGGTCTCCAAAGCGAGTTCCAGGAAAGGCGCAAAGCTACACAGAGAAACCCTGTCTCGAAAAACCAAAAAAAAAAAAAAAAAAAATTACACTTTTGGTTATACTTCCTCTAACCTGGAAAAGCTGCGCTGTGCAGACTGATTTAAAAATAAGGGCTGCACAATTGGTGGTGTGTGTCATTGTGGTCAGTTATAAGACAAACTAAATTATCAACAAACATCCTGGAGAGTCTTACTATGTAGAGCAGTGGTTCTCAACCTTCCTAACTAATTCTTCGACCCTTCAGTACATTTCCTCATGTTGTGGTGACCCCCAACCATAAAGTTATTTTCGTTGCTACTTCATAACTGTAGTTTTGCTACTGTTACGAATTGTAATGTAAATACCTGATAGGCAACCCCTGTGAAAGGGTCGTTTGACTCCCCCAAAAGGGGATGCAACCCACAGATTAAGAACTGCTGGTCTAGAGGAAGTGTTTAATTTTCTGAAGTACTTGGTAATTGTATTTCTGACAATGATTAGTATATGATTGGGAGTTTTGGCCTTAGAGTTGGACATGCTTAGCAAACAAATGCTGCCACTTAGCCAGGTGACTTAAGACAAGGGATACTTAAATTCTGTGCTCAGTTAACTGATTACTGCCACCTGCTGGTAGTTGGGAGCATGACCATTTGTTCTGTGGGCAGGACTTTGGCCTTGGTTAGTTTAAAGGTACCTTCAAATCCTTATAGGCTCATCTTAGTTTCTAATTGACACTTCCATTGAGTTTGTCTCGGAATGTTTTTGTGCATAGCTCTGTTGGGCTGTATTAAACCTGCAGATTGACGCAGGACTGGACATCCCGTTCCTTTTTGATCCTTTTACCAAGTGCAAATGTAATGAGTAGAGAAAAGAATTTTAAAATTCTCTGTTCAACCTTTTTCAATCAGGAAAACAGTAAGTTGTCGCTGCATGCTTCAACCAGAGGGTACGTTGTGAGCAGAACTGCACTAACTTCTGTTCAGAAGTCATCGACTTGGACTCCTCCCAGAAAAGATACTCAAGCCAATTTGCCCAGTCAGCGTGATCAGAAGAAAGGTCCTGCCTACAGCCGGCACGGGGAATTCCTTGAGGTAACTGTCTAATCGGGGGTATTGGAACCGGCACTCACTGCTCAAGGGAGTTAATGTGAGAAGTGGGGTTTCAGTACACTGCCGGATATCTAGTGTTTGCTACTCTATTAATCACACGCTAATGTTCCTTTGGTTTAGAGTAAGAAGCCTTAAGGCAGTTATTGAAGAGGTCACCTCTTCTGTCCCCTTTGTTCACTCGGTGACCTTGGAGTTTCTCAAACTGTTCCATACTACATTTTGTAGTTGGCTACTGTCATAAGGAGAACAGCTGGACAAACTGTATCTTTCAGAAGTGCATGGTTTCCTATTACTCTGAACTGTTGGGTGATAGACACTAAAATGTCTCCTGTAAATCGTTAGCTGTGCTGAAGGCATGGCTTCTCTTCCTGGGTTGGTTACCAGAATTCATTCAGTCCGCTAAAATACACATACATAACGGATTTTTTTCTTCTAGGTGGCCAAGACGTTAAAAAACAACGAGAGCCTCAAAGCCTGTGTTCGCTGTAATTTCCCTGCAAAATATGACCACTATTTAGAGCGTGCGACCTGCAAACGGGAAAGCTGTGGATTTGACTATTGTACAAAGTGTCTGTGTGATTATCATGTCAACACCAAAGACTGTTCGAATAGCAAGCTCCTAAAAGCCACCTGTAAAGTGATGGGCCCTTTGCCTGGAACTAAAAAAAGTAAAAAGAATTTACAGAGATTGTGACCCTTAGCACATCAACTGTAGAAGATCCTAAGGGCTACTTTTTAAGGATTGTTAGATTATAACTTAAGAAGGTAAAAATAAATGTAGGGTGCCATTTTGTCCCTTTGGGAAGAGAGGATATGCATATAGCCTCCTAAAACAATTACAGTTTAATATTAAAAAATTAAAAATTTTCATACAAACAGAAAGATTAAATTAAGAAAAAGAAACTGGGTATCTATTTGTAGTTAGATGAAAATAAAATTGATTGGATTTTATGGCAAGTGAAGGCTGTAATTTTATGGAGTCTTTAAAACAGATGTGATTCACAGTGTTAGCATCTGTGATGCTTTACCAAATTTGTATTGTGTCCATGTCAACTTGAGTCTGTCGATTTAAATGTTTGTCTTTGTCAGTATGAGCCTTTTTCAGTGTGTAAAGTATTCATTGTAAAGTCTTGTTTACTTTATTTCTGGTCTGTTTTAATGTTTTTATACTTGTAAATATTTCTGTTTTTACGTGCCAAAGAAAATAAATATTCATATAACTTTATTTTGTTTTGTTACAATAAAATTCTTATACGTTTAGTAGCATGTGCTGTTCATTTTTATGCCCACATTGGCACTGGAAACAAGTACATTGAGCTGTGAAGGGAATTGGGTGGATCATGTCTCACTGAGGGCTTGTCCTGCCTCCCTGAGTTCCCTGCCAGTAGCTTATCTGGTAAGTGTGTAGACCTGTAGATAAACATCTCCAGATGCTGCAACTCATTAGAACACTGAAGTATAGAGGGCATTTTCTGTCTCGGCAGACTTCCCATCAGGTTTACTGAGTAGTGGGCAATGGTTTGTTTTTATTTTCTAGCTTTCATTTGTTTATCCATAAGAAATGTGGATAACCTGCAGTACCAGTTTAGTGATCTTGTCCTGCATTAGCTCAGGATAATCAGGAGCAATCTCCTTCAGTTTTAAAGAGTATCTAGTGATCCTAGTCAGTGGTCACTTCATTTCAGGATTTGAAATCTATCCTTCAGTGCTTTCCTGGTTTTGCAAGTTAGGGTTTTGTTTTTTGTTGTTGGGTTTGGTTTAGTTTTTTTTTTTTTTTTTTTTTTCCCCCAAGACAGGATTTCTATGTGTAGCCCTAGGTGTCCTGGGACTTGCTCTGTAGACCAGGCTGACCTTGAACTCAGATCAATTGTTCTGATGGGGATTTACCTATGAAAAGAACTTGACGCCTGAAGCTCTTTAAGCACAGTTGAACTTGGACAGGGCTTTTTGGTTTTGTATTTGGGTAATTTTCATTTCCAAATGCCTCCTGAAGCTGGTGATCCATTTTTCCCTTAGGTTTGAGGTATTTTCAGAGTTGCGTTAAGCAGGTTTTCTATATCATTAGTCCGTGCTTCAACATCACTGGCTGTCAGGTTTGGTTTCTTAGTTCTATCACAGGCTTTGGGTGTCACATTGTTTCCCCCATCACTTAATGCTATCTGATTATTCCTGCATATGTAGTTCCTGGTACTCACTCATCTGCCTCGCCTGTTGGGGGTGTTTTAGGGTTAACTGTGCTATTGATGAAACACTGACCAAAAAACAACTTGGAGGGAAAATAGTTTATTTCATTCACATTTCAAATCAGTTCAGCAAAAGTAGGTAGGGCAGGAACCTGGGGGCAGGAGCTGATGCAGAGGCCATAGAGGAGTGCTGCCTTCTGGCTTGCTCAGCCTGCTTTCTCATGAGAGCAGCCTGGGGATGGTACCATTCACAATAGGCTGGGCCCTTCCCTATCAATCACTTAAAATGCCCTGCAGGCTTACCTATAACCCAATCTTACACAGGCATTTACTGTGTCTAAGCCAGCAGTTCTCAACCTGTGGGTCATGACCCTGTCGCATGTCAGGTATTTATGTTACAATTCATAACTAGCAAAATTCCAGGCCCGGAGTAGCAATGAAAATAATTTTTCTGGTTGTGGGGCGGGGGAGGGGGTCACCTCAACATGAGGAATTATATTTAAGGGTTGCAGAGTCAGGAAGGTTGAGAACCACTGCCCCAAACTTAGCTGTCCCAACACCTCTTCCTTGGTCTCTAATCCACTTCTTTCCTTGGGATAGTGTCTCCCTTTTGTCACTAAAACATTTTTCCCCAGTCATTTGAAGGAAGCTTCTAATTTAGTTTTTGAAGAAAATGTCAAGTTTGTCTATGTTTCCACGCTGGCTAGTTTTTTTGTTGTCTGGTTGGTTGGTTTGTTTTGTTTTTAACTGGACACAAGGTAGGGTCATCTGGAAAGAGGAAAGCCCTCCCTTGAGAAAGCGCCTCTGTAAGATCGACTTGCAGACACATCTGTGGATCGCTTTCTTGATGAATGATTGATGTGGGAAGGCCCAGCCCACTGTCGGTGGTGCCACACTTGTACGTGGGTCCGTGGGGTGTATAAAACAGCACGCTGAGCAAGCCACAGAGCAAACTAAGTCTTTGTCTGTGGCCTCTGCTTCAGTTCCTGCATCCAGCTCCTGCCTTGAGTTCCTGCCCTGACTTCCTTTCATGATACAGCTGTAAACGGTAAGTCGAAACAAACCTTTTCCTCCTCAAATTGCTTTTGGTTGTGGTGTTTTATCACAGATTGGAAAATAGCTTAGACGGTTGCTTTTCAAGGACATACCAAGATATTTTCCAAACCGGCACCCTTTTCTCGGGAAATGTGTGAGGCTTCCGTTTATGTGGCACCCATGGCAACACTTACCCCAGTCTGTAGCTTTTGCCGCTGGACTGGCTGGGCTGTGTCTGTTCCTATTGCTTTCGTTTATATCCTATGACGAACGTTTAGCATCTTTTCATGTGACTTGGCTTCATATGCTTGGTGACATGTGAGCTTAAATGACTTATCTTTGTTGTATTGCTTTCTTTCTTTTTTTTTTTATTTCCCCGGAGCTGAGGACTGAACCCAGGGCCTTGCGCTTGCTAGGCAAGCGCTCTACCACTGTGCTAAATCCCCAACCTGGTTGTATTGCTTTCTTACTGATGTTTGGGGAGTATATATTATTGATCAAGTGCTTTATCCACCTTGTCTTTTGATTTGTTATCACCTTAGAGGAAATGTTTTAATTTTTTTTTATTGTTCCAAATGATTTTCCTTCTATAGAGCATGTTTTTCATGCTGTATCTAAGAAATGTATCTAGTCTACGTACACAGTTTTCTCCTACATTCACTTTTAGAAGTTTTACATTTAAAACAGTATTACATTCGTTTGTTTGGGTGGGTGGAAGTATACTATAGAGCATACAGGTGCGCAGGTTTGAAGACAAGTTGTGGAAGCTGGTTCTCTCCTTGTATCCTGTGGGACTGAGGGCTTGAACTCAGGTCATTGGGCTTGGCAGCAAGCACCTTCACCTGCTGAGCCATTTTGCTGGCCCATTTGTACACTTTATAATATTTTGTTTAGAGTCTATGGTTAGTCTGTAGTTTTTAGAATGGTGGGAGGAGTGTCTTGAAATGGGCACCCATTTGTCCCAGCACTGTTTGTCGACACATGTCCTTTGTCTACTGAAATGCCTCTTGGATTCCACACCACCCTGGTAAGTTTCATAACCTGACAATGGCAGCTTTGTAATCTTTCTTGGACATTTTCCAAGTTATGTCACCTATTGTGTTTCTACATAAATCTTATCAGTTTATCAGTTTTAATAGGACATTGCTTTTGATTGGGATTGTGGGGACCAGATTGGTATGCCAACTACTCACATCTCAACAGCCCTGTTTCCCAGCCCCAAACATAGGGGTTTGTCTGATACACATCACTCAACAAGTCTCTTAACAACACTTTGTCTTTTCATTATATACATCCAGTATATATATATATATATATATATATATATATATATATATATATATATATATATATATAGTACTTATTCTTAAGCTTATCCCTAAGCCCCATACGTTATAATATTATGAATACATCTTATTTTCAGTTTTCTATAGTCTGTTGCTATATTGAAATGCAATGTATTTATTTATCTGGCAACCTTACTAAATATAGTTAACTATAGTTGAATGTTAGTGGATTTGTATCAAACAAATAAATATAATTTTATTCTCTTAGTCCATCTATATGACTTTAGTTTCTTGATTTTTTTTTTTTGGCATGTTTTATAGTCTAAAATCTGCAGCTCAACAGAAATGCTGGTGGTGTTTTTGTCAGGTCCCAGATATTAAGGAAAACACTAAGAACAATGTTAGCTGTCATTTTTTTTTATGAGTTGCCTCCGTTTACTTGAGGTCCCTCTGTGTTGGCCTTTGTCAGTATTTTTCACTTGCTAACGTGGTCATATTGGGTATGGAGGTGTGTGGCTACCATAAATTACCTTGATTTCCTAGTATTAAAACAACCTTCCATCCCTAGGATTAAGGCCACTTGTCCGTGATATTTATTATTTCTATTATTGGATTATGTGAGTGTGTGTGCATGTGTGTGTGTGTATGTGGGTGTGTTGAGAAGTGCTGCATTTGTGTGCATAAGAGATGTTGGCTTGTAGCTTCTTAGTGTGTTTGGGACATACTCCCCCCTTTTCAGTTTCCTGGATGTTTATGTAGAATTAGAATGCTCTCTTCCTTTGTGGTTATCTAGAAATCAAGAAAGCTACCTGGATCTGGATTTCCATTATGGGAAAGTGTTTACCTGTGTGTTTTTAAATAGCTACAAGGCTCTTCAGGTCTCCTTTTCTATTCATTTCTCTTTGAATAAGTTTATTAGTTTTTCAAGGACTTTTTCAGGAACAATTATTATGGAATTGATTAGCATGGAGTGGTCAGAATAGTCCTTTTCATACTTTGGAATTGGTAAATGTCCTCCTTTTAATGATTTTTGCAACATAGCTTGGTCTTGACTCACTTTGATGTGCTAGGAAGAGGAATAACTTAGACGATGGCGCTTTCCTGGTCACAGTGATGTGGTCCACACTGTGTATATATTTGCTTGTTTGGAGGAAGTCGGAATGCTAGCTTAAAGCTCACTGAAGCTTCCTGTAACACCCAGTTGACCTTGCTCTTTGATTTGAACCTAGATAAAATCTAGATCACAAGATATCCTAATTGGTGCCTGTTGGAGTAAGAACACACATTACATTCAGAAGCGACTGGCCTTGGCCAAGCAAGGTGCAAGCTAGGAGTTGAGCTTGGCAGTGACTTCCTTACACGGCAGCCTGTGTTCTCCAGTGTCCGTGCCCCGCCATCCTGCTAGAGTGTGAGGTGAACGTGTACTTGTCGCTTGCGATAACCTTTCGACAACAGATACAGCTTTGCTGAGGCCTCTCTCCTCATGAAGCCAATTCAGATTTGGCAGTCCTGTGTTAACTCATGTCTTGGATGCGGGGAACGAAAGATTGTTTCTATAAAACCCCAGTGTGTCCATATGCCTTGCTCTTTTGTGGTGTTCTCAACCTCGGTGCTGCCCATTTCATATAATCAAATGCTGTCTTCACAGGTTAGCCCTGAGGCCAACTTACCACATTGTTGGGAATGCTGTTGGGTACCAGGAGATGAGTGTTCCAGGACTCTGCCTA